TTTTTTTTTTTTTTTTTTTTTGAAAAATAAAAATCAGATTTTTTTGGCATTACTTACATTGTTTTCTTTTAAGAATGAAATGTTTTAAATGAAATCTCAATGTAATATAAAATTATGTTAAGTCTTAAACTACTTTTAATCTCTTAAAACATTTATATATATATAGAAAAAAATCAATCCATGAGCCTCTATCAAAATCTTTACACTAAAGACTGCATTTCTACATCAAGAAAGTTGGTTTGCCCCCTGATTCTAACTTTTGAGGTCAAGCTTTATAAATATAACACAATAAGTCATGTAGTATATTAAGGGCATGTTTTGTTTAATAAAAATAAATGTTATGTTTTTGTCAAGTTATATTAAGATGGAATTTAAACAAGCACAAATCATGAGCAAAAAGTTAATTATGTAGTAAATAAGCAATATGTCATTCACTATTTTCTAACATACTAAAAATGTACAATTAATAAGAATCTGAAAATATTAAGCTATATAATTGCTAAATAAATGTATATAGTTATAGTGTACCCTCCTAGGTAGCAAAAAGATGTACAGATCTAGTGTAAAGGCTCTACTGAATTGTAAATCAGGATGTTTTGTTATATCAGCTAATGAGAATGCACCCTTCTTCAAAAAATAACTGAAGTATAAGTGGAAAAGTTGATTAAAAATTGATGATTTAAATTTAGACTTTCCACTTGGTGACTTAAACCATGATTTTAAATCACTGATTTAAATTGCCTTGATTTAATCAGTCCCCCCCCACTGGCCAATATTTATTTTACAGGTATAGGTTTAAGTATGTGGAGGCTAATGGTAGTATCAGCAGATTATACAGTTAAATTGGTGCATGAGGCATACTGAGGATACTGGGTGATCGTTGGAAATACTATAATAATTAGAAATGGTTAGAGATGGGCCCAAGCCATACCTACAGATCCAGATCTGTATTGCAAAACAGTTTGGGGTTGTTTAGAACTGATGTTATGATATTTTAGTGATAAGGGACAGTACTAAACTTTGTATTTGGAGTCCCACTCTCTCCAAGTTTGGGGTGGTTTGGATATAGGATTTTTGGTTCTGGGCCTGACTCTACCAAGTATTTAAAAAAAACAAACAAAAAAACAAAACAAAACAAAAACAAAACACCCACCTAACCCCAAAAACTAAAAACCCCCAAAACAATTTGAAAATGAAACAATGTTTTGTATCTGTTTAATAATAGACTGTATTTTTAGGCCGGGCTGGTAGTGCTGCCTATCATTAAGGTTGCCTCACACAGCCCATTATCAAACCCTGTTTTCACTTCTTTTATAACTTTACTAAACCTTAACCATTTGGGCTGAAATTTTCCTTGCTGGGTGACTGTTTCAGGCAATTTTTTTTTTTTTTTTTGAAATTTTAGCCAAAACAGTTAATCTGTTTTAAAGAATAAAGCTATGGGAAAATAATTGTGTTGTCCTTGTTCAACGTTCTGGTGACCTTCTGTGTCAAGTATGTCTTTTGTCGTCCCTGCTTAAATTTGGCACAAGCAACCTGAGTTCTGGCTTTTCCCAACTTTTGCATGCTTTGACTAATAGTCTTTTAATGTAGGTTTTTATGCATATTTATTTGAAAGTTAAAATAGCAAGATGTCACTCGTTAGGACATAATCAAATGCTCAAAGATAGAACAAAAACTATTTTTTTTATTTTAAAGAGTTAATATTCATCAAACATTTATGAATATATCTAACAAATTACGACAAAACATTGTCTAATAAGGATGAAAGGGATGAGGTTCTTAAACACTGACTGGTATTACAAAGAATTTTGACTTAATGTATTCATCACCTTGATGTACATTTCCAGTTTATTTTCTCCAAAACGTCAAAATACCTTTGAAGACTTTGTTGAAGTTTATATTTTCTCCTTATATTGATGATTGATTTAACACCATTGCATATATGCTATACAAAAATATTTTGGAAGAACGGACTCATTAAGTTTGACTGTTTCATTTAAATCTTTATAGAACTGTTCATATCTAAATTACGCCATTGGTGGGATGGATGGTTTCTGTAGGGAGCCTGGGAAGTCAATTGAGGAATGGAGGTGGGAGAGAACTGTAGTGTGAAAAGGGATTGATTCTGGCTGTAGGGAGGCAAATCTGAGTCCTGATTCAGGTCTGCACTGAATCCTGCACCTACTGCTGAAACTCAAATTCCTCTCCAGTTGTTGTCATCTTGCTGTGGGTTGCTGACTACTCTTTTGGATGGTGTCATAACTATAAAGGGAAGGGTAACAGCTGTCCTGTGTACAGTACTATAAAATCCCTCCTGGCCAGAGACTCCAAAATCCTTTTCCCTGTAAAGGGTTAAGAAGCTCAGGTAACCTGGCTGGCATCTAACCAAAGGACCAATAAGGGGGCAAGATACTTTCAAATCTTGGTGGGGGGGGAAGGCTTTTGTTTGTGCTCTTTGTTTTTGGGAGTGTGTTCGCTCTCGGAACTGAGAGGGACCAGACATCAATCCAGGTTCTCCACATCTTTCTAAACAAGTCTCTCCTATTTCAAACTTGTAAGTAAATAGCCAGGCAAGGCGTGTTAGTTTTCCTTTGTTTTCTCAACTTGTAAATGTACCTTTTACTAAAGTGTTTATCTTTGTTTGCTGTACTTTAAACCTAAAACTAGAGGGG